TGCACACACAGACACACACACATGCACACACACACACACATGCACACACACACACACTCACGCGCTGTTTATACACACAAACACACGCACACGCGCGTACATGCATCCACAAACGCACCTGGGCCACGCTGAGCTGCATGGCCTGCTGCAGCATGCGCCTCACGGCGTCCACGTACTTGTCAAAGCCGGCGCCCAGGGTCAACGCCAGATCACCAAACGTCGACAAGATCTGGGGGACAGGCGCATTGAGAGGAGGGCAACGGGCGGGAACTGTCGGGTGATGACAGGTGATGGTACGCTGACGGCTTCCTCAGCAGACGCTGCCAGGAGGCCCGCCGCCCCTCCCCGCGATCCGCACGCCGCGGGGCGGATGGAGGGCCCGGGGCCGAGGCGGAGGCGCGTGCGCGGGCACGCGGGGGTGGCGCGCGCCTGCGGCTTGATGCTGCGGTGGACGTCGTTGCTGCCGAGGTTGTGGATGAGCATGCCGACGACCTCGTCGCCGTACGGCGCCAGCTCGTCCCCCACGGCGTCGCACACGTCGGTCAGGACGCCCACGGTGGTCAGGCACACCTGGCCCGGTCAAGGTCGGTCAACGCGAATCAAGATCAGTCAAGGTCAGCCAGGGGCGTGTGTGATGGGCGTCGCGGGCGCGAGGCATCCGCCTGGGGGGTGCCCGCGCGCGCTGCGGCCGCTGCCACCTGGCTGGAAGGCTGCGCGACGGCGGCAGCTGCCGCCCGGAGACGCGCGGGCTCAAAACCTCCCTCTTTTCCCCTCCGACCACCCCGCCAAACTCAATTGCAAAAAGCCGCTGCCCGCCCGCCGCCCGCCCAACCGTCCCTTGTTCTCAGAACCAGACCCTGCTCGCCGAACCCCGCACACCCCACCTGCCACTCCTGGTGGTTGATCAGGCCGGCCTTCAGGTACGGATAGAACGACGGCATGTACTTCCCAAACTGCCGCCCCACCCCCAGCGCCACCGCCCCGACCGCCTGCATCGCTTCCTCGTGCACGCCCGCCGCCGCGCCCGCGCCCGCCGCCGCCGCCGCCGCGCCGCCGGCCGAGCGCGGGCAGGCCAGCACGCGCAGCAGCGCCTCCATCGCTGAGTCAGCGTACTGCAGCAGCGCGGCCTTGCCGCTGTCCTCCTTGGCCAGCCGCGTGCAGAGCGTCTTTGGTTTGCATGCGTGTGGGGTGAGGGGGGTTGTGCGGCATGTTGAGCACGAACGCACGCACGCCTTCGTTGAAGCACACATGCATGCACATTGGTGTGGAAGAGACGGTTGGGGACCGTCGCGGCGGTTTGGGGCTGTGGGGCTTTGGCAGGGCCCAGCTTCCTTGTGTACAGTAGCCTGGTGTTGCAAAGGCAGCCCAAAGTTATTTATTTTTGGCCTGTGCTTGGTAGCATATGTTCCACTGACGATGCGACGGCCGCACCCCGGCCGCCCGCCGGGGCGGCCCCCTCACCTGCACCACGCCGCAGAGCAGCCCCTGCAGCTCCGCCTGCCTCTCCCGCTGTTCCGGGGTGGCCGCCGCCATAGAGAACGTCTGTCAAGTTTGGATGGGTGAGTGGCAACGGGGCGGGGCGTTGTTGCAACAAGCGGCGTCGACTGTGGCCGAGAAGCCCAGGGTTTCGGCGGGCGGGAGAGTGCCTCGGGCCGGAAAGGCGTCGCATGTGGGACGGCTGGGGGGCAGCTGAGCGGCGACAAGCCGCCGCCGTGCTCGGCGCCGGCATGCGTCCCGCGGCGGCGCCGCAAGCGCAGGGCGGCGCGCAGGGTCCAGGGCTGCGAGCGCACTCAAGGGAGCGGCGCCCCGGTGAGGTGGCGGGCCTGCTTTAGGCGCTCACCTGTGCAATGTCGTTCAAAAACACGGGGATGAGATGGCTCACAGTGTCCAGCGTGTCCGCCGCCGCCGCGCGCACCTGCGGGCGATGGGCGCGCGCGTCCGCGCGTTGGTTCGGCCGCACCAGTTGCGTACAGCTGGTGCTGTCTTGGCGACGGCTGCCGCCGGGCCCATGCTGCTGAACGCAGGGCAACAGACACACATACACACACTCACACACACACACACACACACACATGCACACACATGCACGCCTGCCTTCAAAAGAGAGTCACATACACAACACACGATCGAATCCAGTCGTCCCGCAGAACAAGCGTCCCCACCCGTACCCCCGAACACCCAACCCCCCAGACACCAGGAACCCCGGGCCGTGCGCACCAGCTCGTTGATGGCCTCATACGCGTGGATGTGGGGGGAGCTGCCGCCGTGGAC